GAAGGAAGGAAGGAAGGAAGGAAGGAAGGAAGGAAGGAAGGAAGGAATTAATGCTGATTGCAGCATGCTGGCTGGGGCAATTCTGGGAGTTGAAACCCACGCACCTTAAAGAGACCAAGATTGAGAAACATTGATCTGGTAGATGTTGGACTGAGTATAGTTTGGCTCCGGTGGCCTTGTCTTGTCTTCATAACTCAACGATTTTAAGAAGATGGGAAGTTTTAACTCGGTTTCCAAAGTTTAAATCCCTTAGGGAGATAGGTGTGTTTGCCAACACATGCATAGTTATCTTCTTCAAGTTCTCAAGATGCCACACTTGACTTGTCCCCTTGAAATGTCACCCTAAGGGAGGCGGCCCACCCTGTTAAAAGAAGAAGGAAAACCAAGACTGGTTCCCAGTCTTGGTTGGAGAGAGGAAAGGAGGACAGGAATGGGAAGATCCATCTCTGCGTGTTACCCTTCATCCTTTTTTAAAAACTCATCCCATAGCTTGCCATTTCTCATTTTCCTTTTTCTAACCTGGAGTATTCACTCGATGCTTGGCAGCACATGGAATCTACTAATGATGATTGGTAACCTCTGTCCGTGGAGAGAATGATCCAGAAGAAAAAAAAGAGAACTACCATAGCTTCTCTCTCTGTTTACCTTGTGTTTTTTTTCTCTTCTTCTTTTCTTTCCCCCCTTCTCTCTCTCTCTCTCTCTTTGATTCTCTCCTCCCTCCGTCTGCTTCACGCCTTCCTCCCCTCCTCATTGCTTCTTCTCCCTCCCTCCCTCCCACCCACTTACCTCCCCTGCTCCCTGTTCATCGTGCAGAACGGGTCTCTTCACGCCTGACCTCGCTTTTGAAGCCATAGTGAAAAAGCAGATGCAAAAACTGAAGGAGCCCTGTTTGAAGTGTGTGGACATGGTAGTGAGTGAACTCACGTCCACCATCAGAAAGTGTAGCGGCAAGGTAAAGATCCTGCAAAGGAGAGCTACTTCCCTCTACCTGCCTCCATTTAAAAAAACCAAAAAAAAAACCAATGCCATTTTGCGGGCACACAGAGACGAACCCACAAGATGCGCCCCTGTGCCTGTTTTGATGAGACAACAGTCGAAGGTGGGAGAAGGAGAAGGTTCCATGAGGTGATTTTCTCCCTCAGACAATTGTCAGAGAGAATGGGGATAGAAGAGAAGGAACGGTCACTAGAGATCAAGAGGTGATGGGGTGAAGATGCTTGTTGGGCCATAAGTAGACAGGTTCTAGCTCTGAAGGACAAGGGAGGAGGTGGTAGAACTTCTATCTTCTCCTTCTTCTTCTGAGTGCTTCAAAGTCCTAGATTGGCCACTCAAGGAGAAAACTAGTCTGAGATGTTCTTGATATGTCCTACTGGTCATCTGGAGCAAAGTCTTGGTCTGAATGTCTATGCAGATTCTCAGTCCTCCAGGTCATGGTTGTTCCAAAGTTACTTTTTTTCAAGAGGCCATTGGTCTTTCTGGTTTTTCTTTGAAGACATTTCACTTCTCATCCAAGAGGCTTCTTCAGCTCTGGCACAGCTAAATGTTCAAGAGGCAACTGGACTTCCTTGTTTTTTCCTTGAAGACGTTTCGCTTCTCATCCCAGAAGCTTCTTCAGTTCAGGTCTAACCAGGGTTTCACCCTGATGCCCGCGAAGACAAAATCTGTCTCCCAGATTTCTTGCTGTTGGCACCCATCTTAAATTTGATTTCTCTTAAAATCTCATTTCTTAACCTTTCTTCTCCTCGCGTTGGCATTCCATTAATTTTACACACACAAAAAGCGTTAAATAGGAGAGCACCACACTCACCAAACACTGGAAAATTGTGGAAATTCTTTTCCAAAAACACCATTCCGAGTCCACGTTATGAGCTACAGTTTTTTAGGACATCTGGACACCGTTAGATGGCGCCACACACCTCTTGAATCCGTATGGCATCTTGGCTCTCGATTTACCCAGCCAACAAACCAGTGGAACAAACTTCAGATTCTCGAAGCTTTGACTTTGATCGGTAACGACGACAAAAGCTTTGGAAGTTTAGATTCTCGGATGCCTTTCACGACTGGATCTAGGCAGGGCAAGGAAGACTTTTGGGCGGAACCAAGAATGAGAAAAGAAAGGGAACTTAACATCCTTATTTGAGAAGAAAGAAAAAAAAGTACGGATGTTGTTTTTTTCCCCATGCAATAGCAAAAAGGGAGGTCAGGCTTGGTGAAGGTTTGCTGGTCAGCTGGGCGAAGCTGCAACGGTCTTAAAAAGCAGCTCTGTGTTGTTGCAACAACGTGGTTGCAAGCAACCTCCTTAGACGTGGTTGCCACAAGGAGGATCGCAAGAGAAGCCAGGGAGGGATTTCAATTTTCTGCTGATGATTCTCCGAAGCTCCCTGTTCACTTAAAACAATAGCCAGCCAAGAGGATTCCTGGGTGATTAAAGGATGATCTTTCTTGTGCCTTCTCAATTCCTGCCCCACGGAATGCCTTCCCATGGGCAACTTCCCTGGGAGGGTGGAGGGAAGCCACAATGCTGGTTCTTCCTTCCTTCCTCTCTCTCTCTCTGTATTTTGTCTTTGGAAGAGTTGCTCGAAAACGCTTTGTTCGAAAACTTCAGCAGGCAGGGGGGGTTCAGTAGCTGCAACTCAGCTCCCCAAATCCCAAAGGACAAGGGAAAGAAAAGATATTTGGTTAGCTTGTGTTTTGGGTCCTTCTGCAGACAAATATACCGCTTCAGAGTGCTTTCTGGCCCACTCTAAATGGTTTATAGAGTCGGCCTCTTGCCCCCACCCAACAATCTGGGGCCTCATTTTACCCATTTCGGAAGGATGGGAGGCTGAGTCAACCTTGAGCCGGTTAGAATCAAACTGCTGGCAGTTGGCAGTTGGCAGCCTGCAATATTGCATTCTAACCACTGCGCCACCATGGCAGGTAGATGATAGATAGATAGATAGATAGATAGATAGATAGATAGATAGATAGATAGATAGATAAGTAGGTAGATAGATAGATAAGATAGATAGACAGACAGACAGACACTGTAGATGATATAGATAGATAGATAGATAGATAGATAGATAGATAGATAGATAGATAGACAGACAGACAGACAGACAGATGATAGACAGGCAGACATAGAGATAGATCAATAGCAATAACACTTAGACTTATATACCGCTTCACAGCCCTCTCTAAGCTGTTTACAGAGTCCATCCCCAACAATCTGGGTCCTCATTTTACCCACCTCAGGAGGATGGAAGGGTGAGTCAACGTTGAGCCAGTCAGGATCAAACTGCCAGCAATTCGGCAGTCAGCAGAAGTAGCCTGCAATACTGCATTCTAACCACTGCGCCATCACGGCTGATAGATAGACAGATACAGATAGACAGATGGACAGACATAGATAGATAGACAGGCAGACAGGCAGGCAGACATAGAGATAGATCAATAGCAATAGCGCTTAAGACTTATATCCCGCTTCACAATGCTTTTACAGCCTTCTCTAAGCGGTTCACAGAGTCAGCCTCTTGCCCCCAACAATCTGGGTCTTCATTTTACTGACCTCGGAAGGATGGAAGGTTGAGTCAACCTTAAGCCGGTCAGGATCGAAATGCTGGCAGTTGGCAGAGTTAGCCTGTAATACTGCATTCTAACCACTGCGCCACCACGGCTCCTAATGCAACATCCGATCAGCTACAGCAATAGCCATAGCCCTTAGATTTATATACAGCTTCGCAGTGCTTTCCACCCCTCTCTAAGCCGTTTACAGAGTCAACCTCTTGCCCCCAACAATCTGGGTCCTCATTTGACCAACCTTGGAAGGATGGAAGGACGAGTCAACCTCGATCCTGTGAACATGGGGATGTTGCAATGAAAGATGTGGCGACGTCTCACTTTTTTCAGTGCCATTGTAACTTCCAACGATTGCTAAACAAATGGTTGCAAACCAAGGATTCCGTGCATTCGGATGAAAAAAAAAACTTGAGCTGTTTAAACAATACCTTCACATTTTGTTTTTTGTTTTCTTAATTTTCCTCTTTCTGACAATGGCTTTCTGCTCCCCAAATTCCTTAATGATGAACTCACTACAAGCAAAGCCCTCCCCTGACTACAAAAAGAAAAAAAGAAGAAGGAGAAAAAAAACCCCTTTTTAAAAATCCTGCATGTGAGAGAGGAGGGGAAAGGGGGAAAAAAAGAGAGGAAAATCATGCCTAAGGATTGCTAAACGAGACAGGAAATGAATCCATCTGTTTTTCCAGGAGCCCCTGTGTGGGTGTCGGTGAAGAATGGAGAAGAGATGACAGATCTGCCTGAAAGAGAAATCAAAAAAAAATTTCGGAGAAGGGGGTGGAATAGAAAGGCATAGAATCAAGAATTTAAGGATAATAAAATCAAGATCGCTTGAAGTGTTTGTGCCACTTTAGAATGCACTATACACTTGGAATGCCGCATCCACTTTTGGTCACCACGCTATAAAAAGAAGATGTTGAGATTCTGAAAACAGTTGCAGAGAAGAGCAACAAAGAAGGCTAAAACATATGAAGGATATCGGTGGAGATTCTCAGTCATCCAGGTCATGGCTGTCCCCAAAGTGTTTTTTTCAAGAGGCAACTGGACTTGGTTGGTGTTTCCTTGAAGACGTTTCGCTTCTCACCCAAGAAGCTTCTTCAGCTCTGACTGGATGGTGGTGGGGAATGGAAGGATTTATGCTCTCTGCAGACAGCTGGTCATTTGCATCCTTTGAGACGGCCGTTGAGGCTACTTCCAGCATTTCCAAGAAGGCTGCACACATCCTTTGGTACCACTCAGGTGACCTGGATAATCTTCTAAGTGGCCTCAACGGCTCTCTAAAAGGATGCAAATGAACAGCTGTCTATAAATCCTTCCGTTCCCCGCCAGCATCCAGTCAGAGCTGAAGAAGCTTCTTGGATGAGGAGCGAAACCCTCTTCAAAGGAAAACCAGAAAGTCCAGTTGCCTCTTGGGGGAAAAGCACCTTTGGGACATGTGAAGGATGGTGGCAGGAACTGGGTGTGTCCAGTTTAATGAAGAGAAGGACTAGGGGTGACATGATCAGCAGTTTTCCAATGGGCTGCCACAAAGAAGAGGGGGATCAAGCTATTCTCCAAAGTGCCTGAAGGCAAAACGAGAAGCATCAGATGGAAACTAATCAAGGAGTGAAGTGACCTAGAACTAAGGAGGGATTTTCTGACAGTGAGAACAATAAACCAGCAGAAACGACTGGCCTCCAGAAATCGTGGGTGCTCCAACACTGCAGGCTTTGAAGAAGAGGTTGGGCAACCATTTGTCTGAAATGGTCTAGGTCTTCCTGCCTGAGCATGGAGGGGTTGGAGTAGAAGACCTCCAAGGTCCCCTTCCAGCTCTTGTTATTCTGTATTCTGTAGTGTAAAAGCATCCTGGCCCTCTCGAAGCAAGGAAAAATATGAGGGCACTTGGGAAATGAGGTTAGGTTTGGGAAGCTGTCAAGAATGATGGGAGTCATGGAGTCCAAGCCGGTGAAGCATGAATTTGGCAAAGGAGGATTTGTCGTGGCGGAGCCTCGCTCTCCAGGATTCACCAATTTCATTTCCCTGGCATCCTGACCCCAACGGCCATATTCTATGTCCGTACAGGGTGTTCAGCCACAGACTAACCAACAAGCAACTGGCTAGGGCTCTTTTTCCACGGCTTCTTTCACGTGTGAGTCAAATCCGGTGCTCCACCAGCGGAGCAAAACTTGTCAACATCCCGCCGGCCCATCATGAAATCCTTCATTCCATGTCAGGATAGGAAGAGGGCGACTGGCTGCATCCATTCCAGGGATGCAGCCAGTTTGGAGATGTAGGTTAGCGATGGATCAGGGGATCTGATGGTTTGCAGTGTTGTGGTTCGCCGGCAGCCTGTGCAGATGGCAGTGGAATTGGACAGTGGGGAAGAACGGGGACCAGTCTAGGAATCTGGAGAGGACTCAGATGAGGGTCATGTGTCTGATGCAGGGATGGGCCAGGATCATCTGGGAGTGGGGTGCTGACTCCGGAGCCTCTGGAGTCTGGCAGCAGTGAGGCAAAGGACCCAGGGGAGCCTGTTCCCAGAGCGTGTGCGCGCAGAGCTGCTAGAAGTTGAGGGCAGCTGAAACAAAAGCGGAGACTCAGGAGTAAGGCTTGGAGGTGATTGCCCCTCCCATAAGGTATAACGGATAGACAAAGGTGAAGAAACCTTTGCAGGAAGCAAAGTCATTTGTTCGGTTCAGATTAATCCATGAAGCTCTTTGTACTTCGGCTGGGCTTTTTTCTAGTTCATTTGACACTTCTGTTATTGGCAGCACTTCACAGGAAAGAAAGGTGAGCGCTTATCTCGAGGGACTTTTTTGAGATTAATTCCGGCTGGGAATGAAAACAATTCCCAGCATTGCAATAAAATAAGACTTGTTTTTAAAATAAGCATGTGCCTATTTACAGTCTAGGAAGCCTTGATCAGAACATGCAGGGTGAGGCATCTCCTCTCCCTTGGCTTCCTCCAGGATCATGGTTAGAAAGATTTAGGAGCAGGAAACTGAGTGTCTGTCGAGGTTGAATTAAGGCGCCCACCAGCCCCCTCCTCCAGTTTGCCCGCTCTCTTGTTCAAAAGGATGGCATTTTCTGGGTGCTGCTTATCTTATAGCCCCCTCTTCCCGCCGCCGTGCACCCCAACGCATGATCCATTTTTTGTGTGGAGCGGGAAATGAATGTTCCTGTGTTGTGAGTTGCTCGTGGTCCGCCACTCTCCTTGTCGTGCATGTCCTCTCTTTCCCAAAACGTTGGATGCTGCTTCCCCCGCATGAGATTGTGCTAAATGGCTACCGTCAAAATGTGACATAAACTTTGTGAAATCTTTTTTGCAATTTTTAAGTGGGGTGGGTGGGGGGGTAGGGAGAGGAATGAGGTGGGGTCTGTTTTGGATAAGAAGAGTTGGGAAAGTGTTTTCCAATTTCCAAACTGGGTTTTGGTTTACCTATCTGGTTTTTGCTGTCTCCAGTTGAGAAAGAAGATGTTCTCCAGAGCGGTGTTCTTCAACCTTGGCTACTTGAAGATGTATAGACTTCAACTCCCAGAATTCCCCAGCCAGCTGAATTCTGGGAGTTGAAGTGCACATGCCTTTCAAGGGGCCAAGGTCAAGAAACCCTGCTCTAGAACAACAGCAAACTGTCAGGGTTCCGGCGATTGCCCTCGTTAAATCATGAGCCTCAAGCCAAGCTTCAAAAAAATTCAAAAGATTTATTAGGAGCAGTATGCTGGCATTAACCTAAATGAAGCCAACTCTGGCATCATAAATAGTCTCCTTACCCCTTGTCAAATGATGGTTAAGGATGGCTTTCTTGTTAAACCCACCCAGGGTCTTCTGAAGGGGTGGCTATCGTTCATTCCATAACTCATCTTCAACATCCTCCTCCTGGCAGGGGAGATGTTGTCGGTGTGACCCCAAGCCATGGTTCCTTGAATCATGGTTGATTGGTTAAGGCCCTGTTAGTGTGACTCACTCCACATACTGACTTCCTAAGTCAAGATTTGCAAGCCACCATGGATGGATTTGTTCTCCACTGAAAAGAAAGCCCGCTGGGATTGACAGCAGGCTTACAACAGGCCTTAAGGAAGAACTTCCAAACTTGGTTGAATGTTGGAAAACATCTTCGCAGCTTTCCCTTTTCCCATATTCTTCCCTTTTGCTTTCTCATTCCCCAACAACCTGGCCAGATACTCCTGGAGTGTGTTTGGGTATGTTTTCCACCTTCTTCCCTGTCTGGACATTCTTCCCTCTCTATTTTCCCCCCCATACAGCTAAGCCAATATCCCCACCTGCGGGAGGAGATGGAGCGTATCGTGACTACTTACATCCGGGAGAGAGAAGGAAGGACCAAAGACCAGGTATGTTCTATCTGGAGAAGCTTCCCATTCCTGTAGCTACCCAACCACCTGCTTCCAGAGGGACCCCTTGGGCAGTTTTTCGTTTGGAGTCCACGCTTCTCCCCCCAATGAAACCCAGCCTTCCTCATCAGGAGAATCCACCTCCCGGAGGGTTATAGGAGCAGAAAACCCACAGTTTTGGAGGCCCTGATGCAGTATCGTAGTGTTAGTAACCATGAGCTTAGTGTGGAGATGTTGATGGAGGTCGTTTTGAGGGCTCTCAAAGGGTTCAACTCTCTCTTGTCATGGTTTTCGTTCCCAGGTCATGCTCCTGATAGACATTGAATTGGCCTACATGAACACCAATCATGAAGACTTCATTGGATTTGCCAAGTAAGTCAAAATTTACTCATGAGATGACTTGAGGCAGCCCATCTTTTTGGTGTTGAGCTTGTTCCTCTTGACAAATTTCACCCAGCCATTAACTCTTATTTTGTTATCTGCCTTCTGGG